AACTAGACAATATTAATTTTAGCAAAGTAACAGCAAGCTAGACAATAAGGCCTAAATCTTATGCATGTAAGCTGTTTTACATTTGGGGTCTTTTTGACCCTTAGGGTATCAATCTGGTTAGTCCCTTGAGCCCAGGTCTATAACATCAAAGACAGATTTTTTCCAGATGGAATGAGGGCAAATTAAGAACTTTTGTGCAACGCTTTTTAGGCTGGAAACAAAAGTTTCTGCTTAAAAGAATTCATAAAGGAGCCAGGTCCCTGTGGTCCAGATCTACCAAATCACATTAGAAGCCTGCAACCCCCTGATAGACTTTGTTAGTCTGGAGCTGTTGGCATATCGAACCCAAACAACTCTTTGTACTTCTCTATTTGAGGAAAAAAGTTGTCTGTTGCCATATATTTAGGCCGTGAATGTTTTGTGGTAATCAATTAAAAATGGGTTTGTTTTATATATATGCAGTGCCGAGCCCAATGAGATCCTAACTCCAAAGTCACTCTTGATCATTAGTAGTATTGAAGCCGTGAAAAGCCAAAATCAGGACTCAATAGTCTTGGTGACCATTAATCAGGTATTCTTTACTGCGGCATTGGACGCATAGGGCATTGCTCCTCCTAATGTGTGCACAGAACAGGGTTAGTTGCATAGTTTATATACAACTTTTACATACATATTCATTACATTCCTCAGAAAAGGCAGGTATAGGTAAATTGATTCCTGGAAATCATTTACATATTCTCCTCCCAGTTGCACATGCTCAGTGATTTGAGTCAGTGGTCTTCAGGGGTCATTTGCTTCATCCACTCCTCTTCTTCACCTTGTCCTTTTGGTGAACTTCGGCTTTTACCCCCCTTATTCTGCTGCCAGAACAACACAGCCAGTACCTGCTGGCTCCCCATGCTTGAAACATCCCCCTTTACCACCTTATCCCTCATATCGAAAAAATGCTAAACGTTTTCTCCCCTACATGCCTTCCAAGGCCAGCAACAAAGATAGGCAATTTGCTACAAATCTCTTCTTTTTTTCTTTAATGATGCACATTCCACACACTGTCAGTTTCTTATCTACAGTTTTTCACCCCATATGGTTGTTAAGTTTAACCTAAAACACAATGTTAGTACTTTAAGCTGGATCCTCCTCAAGGATGTTCTGCTTTCTCAGGGCTGTTAATCACATTCCAGCTACAGCTGGATTCACAAAGGTCTCTTGTTAACCCTTTAGCATCCCTTCAGTATACTCATATTGTACACTATTATTGTAAGAGATTGACAGATTGATACCTTAAGGGTCAAAAGACCCCCAGATGTAAGAGGCTTATATGCATAAGATTTAGGCCTTATTGTCTAGTTTGCTGATGCTTTGCTGAAGTCAGTAGTGTCTAGTGTGGATGTGGATGTTTTTCTAAAATCAGTAGTGTCTAGTTTGGATGTTTTTCTGAAGTCTGTAGTATAGTTACTTAGTAAATTTAGAACTCTATTTAAGGACGGGAAGAATCGGGGGGGGGGGTGATAGAGAAAGAT